CTAAATACTAAAAATTTATTTACCAAACTGTAATAAACGATTGTAAATAACACAGATAAACAGATGTAATGCAGTTCTCTTTTTTATTTTTTTTTTATGTATGTATGTATGTATGCAATTGCTTAATTCGAAAAACGAGTATCTATACGAAACATTCATTCTTTAGCCTAAAACTTATGCGTATGTAGTAGTAAAGACAAAGAAACTTAAGCTGTATTTAGAAAGTTATTGGAACTATATTGAATGATAATGAAGAAATATACAGAAATTGTTAGTAACTACTTGCTTTTGTTTATTCAAGTGTCTTTTTTTTATTGACTAAATAGTGGCCTGAAACATTAAGGCGGTGCTAATGTTTAAATTTTTTCTTATTAGCTGAAGCTAATTTTGAATTTATTGAACGTGATGGTCGTTCTTCTGGGTACACATTTAAGACTCATTTCACACTGTATGAGACAGCGGGCGACGTACATTTTGAGCCGACATGTAACAATCCGACTGGCCGGTTAGCGGGAAACCGGAGGGTGTGAAATGTTCCTGCACTCTGGGCAATGTGAGCAACCCATGCGCGAGATGCGGTAACCCAACCCATGTGGAGTCGTAAGGCTACGGCAGGAGGTTAGGCTAGCAGTCGGCTATTCCTACGACACGTTCTGTGTACCTGCTGTTTCGGCGACCCAACCCCCTTTAGATCGGCGAACCCGATCAGTCGTTTTTCGTCCGTGGAGCAATACCTGGCAGCCGGTTTATTGCGCCTCTTTTTTCGGGCGGGTATTTAGTCCAACCTCGAACCAGGAATCTATTTCTGCTGCGTTTGCCAACTCCGAACTCCACTTCGGTTAGGGGCCACCTCAATCTTACTCAGCTAACACCACTTTCTCTGGTCCATCCCCGTCTAAACAGCTCGTTTTCTGGGCTTGCCGTTAGCTTGACGACACCGATTGATGGACAAATCGACCTAGGCGGCGCTAAGAAGTGCAGCTACAAAAACAACAACAGCTACCAGCTGACGCCTGTCTCGGAGCAAGCGTCCTATTTTACATTTAAATGTGTATCTTTAAAAACACCCCCCCGCTACAGGTTGTACGCTCTTCTTGGGACTCGCCAAGTAAAGAGTCAATCCAATTAAAAGACCAGAAAAGCATATTTTAGTAATCCCTCTTCAGACATCCTGTCTCCGAGTTCGCAAATGTAAGCAAAGAAGGCATAATTGCTCGCACTGTCGGACACCAGCTTCATAGTAACCACAGAAGCGGTATTGAAACTATTTGACTGCTGCTTTATTTTCTCCAAAAAATGTTTGACCCACATTCCTGTTTACCAACATAATAACGCTTCTTCACTCGGCCAAGGCGGCATTACAAAAATGAGGCTCCTAGATACGACGGTGCACCGGCTGAGCTGTTCAAATCCTGCGGCGAAGAGCTGATAGCCAATACTCAAGAAGGGAGATCCTATAGTTTTCGACAATTACCGCAAAATAAGCCTTCTTAACAGTGCGTATAAGATCCTATCGATGAGCTGTGTGAAAGATTGATTCGGTTTATGGACAAACAGACTTGACAAATTCCATGGTTAGACCAGGAAAGCAAGGGCGCCCACGAGCGCAAGCCCAGGTGCAGAAGTACCTATCTGCACTCCGGATGAACCACTGACGTAACTTCGCAAAGGAGGGAGGCAAAAGTTTTCTGGTTTCGGACTAAACCAACAAACAGTTGTAGAGCCAAATAAGCAGAAGAAGAAGAGTAAATATGTATGCAGGTTATGCCAAAGGTTTATTTGACTTTGAACAACACCTAGTGCGAATACATAATGAAATAGTGAGCGGAGAGTGAGTGCGAGATAACAGACGAACTTTTGTAGAACCTAGTCCAAAACGACTAAAAGCTATGGAGTCAAAAAACATTTGCGCACTCATAGACGAATTTTAGCCAAAACACCTATGTACATTTTTTACAAGCCAGGTTTTTTGCCTTGAAATATGACGATTTGTGAGTATTAAAACCATTTTTTTTTTAAATTCTGATTATTAATAAACTTCTACTTCTACGTGAAGTCAGTCTGGTGTCAGAATCATATTTGTGACGAAAGAAAGACTAATTTTAGACTCTTAACCAGCGTTGCCATTTTGGTGCTTCTGGAGCTAGATTTAGCACTTTATTTTTCTATTTAGCTCCGAAAATTGGGTTTTAGCTCCTAGCTCTTTCTTTAGCTCTTTTCAAATTTATCTAGCACTTTTTTAGCTTTAGAAAGTTTTAGTTGTATTTGGTATACATAAGCCAAAACTTAAGCGTTGATAAAATGGAAAATTTCGAAATGCAGTGTATACACCATAAACTCTTGGATCTAGGCTAAAGAATTCAAAAATTAATTTAAAAAAAAAATCCTTTTACTGATAGCGCGGACTTTGTTTTACCTTACTAATTTTACCTTTAAGGAGAGCTGGAAGTACAACTCTCCAGAAAAATTTAGCGAAAAAATTATTCAATTCAAATATTTGAAATTACAGACTTTAACAGTTTGTAAAGTATTTTTAGTTCACTGTTATAAGTGCCATAACAACGAATTCGAAATATATGCACCTTAATTTGGTTTTAAAAGATTTTTTCAGCACTTCGTCGTTTTTATTAAAATTGCCGAAAATGTAAAAACAA